CAGCCTCCCAAAGGCGCGGGATTACAGGCTGAGCCACCGAGCCCGGCTGGTTGAATTTTTAAAATGAAGGTTTTCCAGACTACCCCAGCCCACTGACCTGTTCTGTCCTCTGGAAGCACTTATGTTCTGCACTATTCATTTGACTTTTCTTTTTATGCAAATGGCCTGCCTACCAAGCTAGATTCTAAGCCCCTTGAGGGCAAGGAAAACTTGTCTCCCATTTATCTGTAACCTCAACACCTGGCACCCAACAGTAGGCATTGTCAAGTCTCAGAGCAGGTAAAGGGCCAAAGTTGCTGTCAGAGGGATGGGGGATAAACATACTCAAGAACTGACTGACCAGCTATTTGCTTTGCTCCCCAGGGGGCTGTTGTGGTTCCGACTATAAACAGTATGTGTTTGGCGGCTGGGCCTGGGCCTGGTGGTGTATCTCCGACACTCAGAGGTAAGCCCTTGGAGGTTCTGGAATCTGTCATCGGTGGGCAAGGGAGAAAGAGGTTTCCAATGTTTCCCCCTTCACCCCACAGGTCAGCTAGAGTATCTGCCATTTGCCACATTGTCTTCTGGGAAGTGGGGGCCACCTAAGCTGCGGGTGAGGTGGGTTGCACAGGGATGCAGGAGGTCAGGGATATGTCAGGAAGGTCTGTCATGGGTGCCTCCTCCTTAATGGGTGTTCTTTTTTCCATTGGAGGTGTGACATCATTTCTGTCCCAGAGAGTTCAGGGTCATACTCAGGCAGAATCTCAGTTTCCTGTTTCTAGCTCAAAGTTATTTGAGAGGTCTTAATTATATGCCCTGTTTGGGATGGGTGGATGAAGGGAGGAAGGGATGAAGAGACCCCAGACACACACCCTTACCTGTGCAAGGCCCTGTGACCATCCAGCCAGGGGCTAAATGACAGAGAATAGAGATACAGTCAAAAGTGGTTCTGTGAGCCAGGCTCGGTGGCTCAGCCTGTAATCCTGCGCTTTGGGAGGCTGAGGTGAGTGGATTGCCTGAGCCCGCGGGTTCGGGACCCGCCTGGGCAGTGAGACCTCATCTCTACAATAAATCAAAAATTAGCGGGGCGTGGTAGTGCGCGCCTGTAGTTCCAGCTACTTGGAAGGCTGAGGCGGAAGGATCACTGGAGCCCAGCAGGTCGAGGTTGCGGTGGCCGGGAGCAGCCACTGCACTCCAGTCTGGGTGACAGAGTGAGACTCCAACTCAAAAAAAAAAAAAAGTGCTTCTGTGACAGTGGTGAGTTAGAGACAAAGGGTGAGGATCTAATGAATTAATGCTAGTGCCAGGCGTGACAGGCTGGACCCCCTGAATCAGTATGGAAGGACTAGGGGAAGGGAGATTTCAGCTCCCCAGAGGGCCCACCCTCTGGCTCTACCTGCTATTATCTCCGGATCCCAGAGCAGAGCCACACCTGGCCTCTCCTGTCAGCCTCACTGCCCACCCAGGAGATGAGGCCTGTCAGCCACCTTTCCATGATCATTTCCTTCCTGATTATGGGAGTTGAAGTGGTCAGGGGGGAGTAGATCCTTCCTCTCCAGTACCCAGGCAGCAAGGGCTGCAGAGCTGTGAAGGTGTGGCATGTTGCAGGTGAGTTGTTCATCCCACAGGGGCAGTCTTGGAGGTTCCAGTGGAAACCCCTTCCACCCCGATCCCTACTAGCCAGCAGAGAGAAACCCGTATCTGCGCTGAGCTGCTAGCACTTGAGGCTCCTGGGAGTCTGAGGGTGCCTGCTAGGGTTGGGGGGTGGGTGGGCTCATGTCGCAACTTTTTATCTTCATGGATTTTTCAGAAACCCCTTCCACTGTCCCTTCTTTCCCTTCACTTTACCCTGCGTGAGGTGAGGGCTGCTGGGAGACTCTTCTAGTCCAGGGCCAAAAGCATCAGAGAGGAACAAATGTGGTTACAACTTCTACTCAAAAGGATCCTGGGCACTCCTGAGTGGGCCAGTTGGCCTGTCAGAAGTCATAGGGAGTCGTCTCCAGAGAGACTGCCACCCCACATGCCACACAGCCCCAGCACAACCAAGTATCTTGTCCAAACACTTCAACTTACAGCCAGAGACCTGCCCCATGCGGGCATCCACTGCTAGGGCAATACCCTTGCAGCCCTTTTTCCACATTCTTGATCTCCCACTCCCTCTTCTTGCTCCAAGGAGCAGAGCTCCAGGAGAGCCAAGTCTCGCTGACAGCGAGTTTGGAAGTAAGGGGGGGCGGAGCTTTCTATCTCTTCCTAAGAAACTGACCTCACACCCAGGTTACATATCCTCCCTCTTGTCTCACTTGCGGAGTCATCTGAACCTGGAGCCCTTCCCCATCTTGTTCCCTTTTCTCGGGGACAGGCCCTTCCCCAATCCCTAGCTTGCTTGGAGACATCTCCATAGGCTGGGAGGAGCCTCTCAGGTCAGAATAGAGGCTTCTAACTCAGCTGGGGGACTCAGCCTCCCTTTCAAGGTCCTTTCCACAGCCATGCTATGTGTTACCCACCCTCCAGATCAACCATTCTTCTTCCAGGCTTAGTAATGTCCCTTCTGCTGCACTTTGCTGCCACACTCTGTACTGTTCCAAGGCCCTGCTGGGGGCAGTGCTCCCCCCATTACCTGAGCAAGTTCTCCACCTCTGGCATCTGAGCTGCAGCCTCCCTTTTTCCCTTCCTTCCCTCCCTCCCTCCCTCTCTCTTTTTGCTGGTCTCCTTCTCCAGAAGAGAGTTGGTGGTTCCTGTCTGAGCCGGGTCGAGAGTTCCCTCAGGCCCAAGAGTACTAGTGTTAGGGGCTCAAATGAAGGCAGCCTTGGCATGTCTGCATGGCCAGAGCCCCAGGTGGACACTGTGAGGGCAGCCCCTCCCAGAGTTGGGCTGGGGACTCCACACTGCCTGCTGCTCCTCACCCCTGCATCCACTTGCTTCTGCCCCTTCACCCTCGGTTTCTGTTCTCCCTTCCTTCCTCTGGTTTAGGAAACCCTTCCACACTGTCTGCAGCCTGGCCTCCGCCTAATCTCCACCCTGCACACGTGCATACGCACACACACTGCCCTCAGGAGGCCCAGCCAGAGTGGGTCAAGGAGCTTCATGGCTCATTTTCTTTGCCAATAACCTCTCTTCATGTTACCAACTTTGGAAGTTCCCAAGTGACTTACTCCCTCATCTGCTAGTTGTCCCTGAATATTCTCCCAGGAGCAAACTTTCTACCCCAGCCATCCTTCACCCTCACCTCTGCCCACAGTCAGAAAATCCCACTTTTCTTTGGGCTTTTCTAGCCCTACTTGCCACCTTAACAGTATGTAGTACAAACCTTGAGATGTGCCCCGAGCAGGATTTGTTATTTGCTGAGGCTCATTAATACCCAGAGAGGCCTTCCCCTCCCGGTTTCTGGAAACACAGCTTCACCTGTGTTAGGAGGGTAGGCTAAGGCTAGGTCTCCCAGTTTGTGACAGGAATCTCTCCTGGGAAAGTGAGGCGGTGGGCAACCCGGATGCCCTATGCACAGGCCTCCCTACCTCAGGCCGTGGGTCGAGTTTGGAGAGGAGACAGAGGCCTCAGGCCAGCAAGGGGGTGTCACTGCTCTCCTGCAGCCCTAGGCTGAGCTGGCAGTGGGGGGTTGAAGAATTGAGAGCACCCTCACCCCGCCCCAGGCATCAGACATCGATGCTTGTCTGGTAACCACTGTGTGTATTTGCTGTGTCCCCTCCTACCCCTTCCTGTCCCTACCTCTCCCTACCCCCTGGCTGCTTCTCAGACTGTCTCTGGAGGTTATGACCATCCTGTGTCGCTGTGAGAATATTGAGACGTCGGAGGGGGTCCCGCTATTCGTAACAGGGGTTGCACAGGTAATAACCCACCTGCTTCCTCCTCTGTGTCTAACCTTCTCTCTTCCTGCCTGTGGGGCCTGGCAGGCAGGAGCCGGATGGACTCCCCTCCTGAAAGCGTGCCTCCCTCCCCTCTTTTTTCTCCTCTGCTGCTCTGGGTGCCAGGATAGATCCCAGGGCCCTTGCCCTTGCCCACTGGGGCTGCAAGTGGGGAAAGAGCAAGGCTTCTAGACGCTCTGCCCAAGTCTGCTAGGGAGTCCTTGTGTGCCAAGCCTTCATGAGCATGCAGCCATGGCTGGTGAACTCTATTCTTGGGCCAGGACATTAAGAAACTCCATGTGCTTTCTCTGTAATGTTTGGGTTCCCGTCTTCATTGCTTCATTTGCCAGCTCTCTGTTGACCACCTTCTCAGTTTCAGGCACGTGGAATATAGCAGCAAACATCAAACGCCCCTGCCCCCTCAGAGTTTGTGTGGGTCCCCAGACTGGAAGAGGCCTAAACAGCATCTTCCTCATCCCCCTCCCTTTGCACTAAATTGCCCTTCAGCCTGCTCCAGCAGAAATCCTGCACCACTACTCCCTTCTTCAGCCATCCTGCCATCTCTAATCAAGAAGGGGGCCATCTCCGTCTCATCAGCCCTTGTAGCCATGGGAGGGCGGGCTTCACAGAGGCCTGAGAAGCTCATAGCACTTTGTGTGGAATGGGTAGGATCCAGGCCTTCCTCAGCACCCCATGTGACACAGCCCTGTCCCCCTCCAAACCCACTACTGTTCTTGAAACATCTGCAAATGCCCAGATCCTTTTTAAACTGGGTGATTGTGGACCTTTGAGTCAGACTGGGCAGAACAACTCTTTCTAAGGTGAACATTTCTTGGTCAGGAGGCTCTGGTGTGACCCCAGCTTATGTTCCCGGTGTGACCCACCTAGGGCCCATACCAGAAGGTGGATTTCAGGTAGAGGGACCAGGCAGGGCTTCCCTGGCAAGGGGCAGGTGCAAGATCACTTCCGTCTCGGCCCAGCAGTGGGCCTCCTCCCAGCATGGAAGACAGTCAGGCAGAGCTTTCTAGGCAGCTTCCTGGGGCATCCTGGGGTGCTGAGTACACCTAGGGGCTGGGTGACTACCCCCAGGGAATGTTCAGATGACATCCATAGATGGCCTACACAGCAGGGCCTGGAGTACCAGCACTTATTGTTGTCCTAGGACATCACACACAACTCCACCTAGGAGTTCCCCACCTCTGCCAGCCCCAGACCACTCACAACCACTTCTCTTCTACTTCCTTTTCCTCACAATTCTAGCCAGGCCGACTTGAGCAGAGGATGTGTGTGCACATGTGTGGCCCACCTGTACTCCTTCCCCTGGAGTCACCTGCACCCGCCCTGCCCTGCCCCGTTCCCCCTCACACACTCTCAGCCACAACCCCTTGGAGAGTCCTCTCCCACCCTCCTCTTCACCAGGACCCTTGGTCTGCCCCAACTGGAGTAGTGAGGCACTGGACTCTTTCCCCACACCACCAGGCCCTGGGCCCCCAGACCCATGCCCCTGTTTTGCGTTTCTTGGCAGGATTTCCCTAGAGATTATGACGTTGCAGCCCCGCTGTGAGGACGTAGAGACGGCCGAGGGGGTAGCTTTAACTGTGACGGGTGTCGCCCAGGTATAGTAACTCAGCAGCCCTGCGCATGTCCGTTGAGCTGCCTCATCCCCATTCTGGGGTCTGGGGGGAGGAGGAGAGGACAGCAGCCAGGGGCAGTCTCTCTCCAGCACCCCTGCCCTGCCCCCCCTAAGAGAGGGCCAGTCGCCACCACTGGAACATGCTCGCTCAGCCCCTTGGCCACCCAGAAGAACTAACAGATACCCCTTCTCTCCTCAGAGGGCCCGCGAGGGACAGAACCAGTGCTGAGGGCTCCTGTCTCACTAACTCCCCCATTCTTTGCAGGTGTTGGAAATGCCAGGATTCCCGGCCTTCCCTGTTCCCTGAGTAGGGGGTCGGAGGAGTGGGGTCCAGAGGGAAAGGCCACATGAGGCAGAGGAGCTCTAGGCTCTAGAGTTCTGTTCCCTGCAAGGGACCTCGTGGGGGGCCTCCTGCCCTGACCCACCTCTCAGCTTCACAGGAGAGTGGGGTTCAGCTATGTCATAGGCCTCTGGCATGGGGATTAACTGAATATACCTCAAGAAGGAGAGGCACCCTCAGCTGCATCCCCCTGGACCTGTCTTCTGCCCTATCTAGGCTCTTTCCTTGTCTGTCTGTCTGTGTCCCTATTGCTCATTCTCCTTTTCGTTCTCTGTACCCCTCAGCCTGAGATTCTCCCACATGTGGGGAGCCTGTGAGGGGAAAATTGGCTAGTGAGGGAACAGTGGACTGGAGGGATGGGGAGGTGAGCCCCCAAATGCCCTGGAGACAGGCCTTGTCAGGGCCTGGGGCGGCCAGTAAGGATGAAGTTTCTCAGTGTAAAAATTTCTTTTGCTGCTGTCTCCCTGCTAAGGGCCTCAGATTCTAGCCCTCAGGGCCTCCAGGTCTGAAAAAGGAGGGGAGGGCACAGCCACCACCCTCCATACCTCTGGGTCTGGGGCCTTCATCTGCCTCCCTCCAGCCTGGCTGAAGCACTTCTGTGACCACTGGCAGGTGAAGATCATGACAGAGAAGGAGCTCCTGGCCGTGGCCTGCGAGCAGTTCCTGGGCAAGAATGTGCAGGACATCAAGAACGTCGTCCTGCAGACCCTGGAGGGGCATCTGCGCTCCATCCTCGGTGAGGCCCTGTCCAGCCTTCCAGGAGCCTCAGGGGTCCCCAGGCCAGGGCCAGGGAGTCATGCAGGGCTGGGCAGGGGCATGTTCCACTGAGATTTCAAGCGGAGACATTTTTCCCTCAGGTGAGGGATGGGGGGGCTGTCTGTCTACTCAGGAACCTGGCACTGCCTGGAACACTTTTCTTTATCCAGCCTGAACTCTGAAGAAGGAGGCTCGGTGTTAAACACTGTTGAGAAAACACCCCAGGAAGACCCAGCTCAGACTGCATGACCCCTGCATGCACCCAAACCTCTACACATATGCCTGCTCCCTTTCCCAACTGACTGGGCCCCTGGGGAGCCAACCCATGATCCCTACGCTCCCAGGGACCCTGACTGTGGAGCAGATTTATCAGGACCGGGACCAGTTTGCCAAGCTGGTACGGGAGGTGGCAGCACCTGATGTTGGCCGCATGGGCATCGAGATCCTCAGCTTCACCATCAAGGTACAGTGTGATGGGAAGGCTGAATCCCTTAGCGTCCATCTGGGGCATGGGACATGGCTGAGGGGGCATCTTTGTGTCTGTGTCTCCCTTTCTTCCCCAGGATGTATACGACAAAGTAGACTATCTGAGCTCCCTGGGCAAGACGCAGACTGCTGTGGTGCAGAGAGATGCTGACATTGGTGTGGCTGAGGCTGAGAGGGACGCAGGCATCCGGGTACATGAGATTTCCTTCCCACTCCCAGAGACAAGAAGCTTAGGGGTGATGAGACCGTGGTCACTCAAGGGACCTTCTACTCATTCACCTGCCCCTTCTGCTCCCAGGAAGCCGAGTGTAAGAAGGAGATGCTAGACGTGAAGTTCATGGCAGACACCAAGATCGCCGACTCCAAGCGAGCCTTTGAGCTGCAAAAGTCAGCCTTCAGTGAGGAGGTCAACATCAAGGTGAGAGGCTAGAGGGCATCCGGGGCTGGGGTTCAGGCCTCAGGACTTGGTGGCTAGCCTCTAACGTGCTGGCCACCTCTTGCCACAGACTGCTGAGGCCCAGTTGGCCTACGAGCTGCAAGGGGCCCGGGAGCAGCAGAAGATCCGGCAGGAAGAGATTGAGATTGAGGTTGTGCAGCGCAAGAAACAGATTGCAGTGGAGGCACAGGAGATTCTGCGCACAGACAAGGAGCTCATCGCCACCGTGCGCCGGCCTGCAGAGGCCGAGGCCCACCGCATACAGCAGATTGCTGAAGGGGAAAAGTGAGAGCCACCCCCAGGGCCAGGTCGGGTTAGCCAGGCTCCTCTGCCATTAATGTACTCCCTCCACTCTCCTGGCCACAGCTTGGAAGCCACTTCTCCCAGGTCTGCTTATTCACTGTGAAGTGAGAATATTCCCACCTCCCCCTAGGCCTGTCATTAGGAAGACTCAAATCAGATCAAGGAGGCTCAAGTGCCTGATGTAGTGCTTGGCACAGAGGGCATCCTGGTTAGTACCCCTTCCCACGTGTAGCCGGGAGCCAGTGGTCTCTCCCTGGCTAGATCCAAAAGGCCAGGGCACCCCTTAAATGTCTCCCACCCCTGACAGCCTCCAGAGCAGAGGGTTTGATGGCCCCCAGGCAAAGCTCATGGGGACTTTGCATGCACTTCCCACTAATCCTGGCCGGCCTGGGCTCCCTCAGGGTGAAGCAGGTCCTCTTGGCACAGGCAGAGGCTGAGAAGATCCGCAAAGTTGGGGAGGCAGAGGCGGCAGTCATCGAGGCGATGGGCAAGGCAGAGGCTGAGCGGATGAAGCTCAAGGCTGAAGCCTACCAGAAATATGGAGACGCAGCCAAGATGGCCTTGGTGCTGGAGGCCCTGCCCCAGGTGAGGCTCCCAACCCAGGCTGGGACCCAAGGTTCAAGAATCCTCACTTGACTAGCTGGGCAAGTGCCAGAAGTGTTCTGGGCCTTGTCAGTGACACAGCGACAGACGGCTAGAAGGATCAAATGGGGAGAGTAATCAGCAAGGAGCCAGGCACCCTGCAGCAGGCCTAGGCCACCCCTGACCTGCTAGGCCTCTCTTGTCAAGGCTTGCAATTAAGGCCCACCCTGGGTGCTTTGTGGTTTGGGTGAGTTGGAGAAGGGCGGGAGAGATGCTGGACGGGGCAGGGGATGGACTCAGAGCACCGACCAAGGTCTCTTCTCACTCCACTTCCTAGATTGCCGCCAAAATCGCTGCCCCTCTGACCAAAGTTGATGAGATTGTGGTCCTCAGTGGGGACAACAGCAAGGTCACATCAGAAGTGAACCGACTGCTGGCTGAGCTGCCTGCCTCTGTGCACGCCCTCACGGGTGTGGACCTATCTAAGGTGTGTACCTACCTAACTGGGATGGGGCTGCCTGGGCAGCCCATTGGACTGGCCCAGGCAGAGTGGTCTGGGACCTCATGGCGTCTCCCATCCTTACAGATACCCCTGATCAAGAAGGCCACCGGTGCGCAGGTGTGAGACCCCTGCAGGCCCACACCCTTCAGCAGCCACCCGCCCCTCCCTCCAGGACCTGTTTTAATACCACAGGGACAACGGGAACGTTACTGCTGGTGCCTTATTTTGTGGGGACCAGAAGTGCTGCGTGTTCAGGCCACCTCTGGCTGTCTTTCCTTCTCTCCTGTCTCAGTCCACCTCCTCCTTTTCCTCTCCTCTAGCCCACACCCTCACTTTCACTGCCATGTTCATCTAGTCTCTCATCTTCCTGTGTCTCTTCCTTTGTCCGTCTTTTTCTCTCCCTCTCTCCTCCCACCCCCTATACACATCGTGTCGTTTAAGCTGAAGATGTTATCATCAATGTCTGTCTGTGGGGGGTGGCCCCGCTGCTCCTCAGAATCCTGGTGCCTTGAAGTTCTCCATGCATCTGTCCGTCCTCCCTGTGGCCCTGGCCAGAGCTCAGCATGGGTGCCGGGGCTCTGGGTAGGACGGTCACCCTCCCCTCTCCCGGACTGGTCTTTCCAGCCCTAAACTTTGCCCCAGAAAGCCCATGGCCTCACCTGCTCCTGCCCCTCAAGGCCTAGGGCAGCCATGGCCTGTAGGGCCCAGAGCCATTGCTCTTCCCCTCACCCCTCCCCAGGCCCAGGCCGGCACTCATACCCTGCCCTTCTCTCCCTTACCCCAGGGGCACAGAGACAAGGCCTCCTATCCATAGCAGCTTCCTCAGTTACTACTGCCTTAGGAGGCCCCTGCTTGTGCTCAGGGAAGCCCTCTTCATGGGCATGTCCCTGCTAAGGGGGTGGGGCTTGGTCCCAACTGTGCTAAGCCTTCCTGGGATCAGTGTCTAGCCCTGCTGGGGACAGGAAAGTGTGTAGACCCTCTTCCTACTAGGGCTGCACTCTCCTGGGTTTGGGCCCTTCCAGTGGGCAAGGCTGTGCCAACCCTGTACAGAATCAAGTGCTATAGACTGGCCAGATCCCATACCCCTTGTGCCATCTTTCTTCCTGGCCAGAGTGATGTGTACCAGCCATGGGGAAGCAGCCCAATCCTCTGCCTTCTTTCTCCAGTGGAGGCAGAAGAGCCCAGGGCCCAAGCATCCTGGCAGGGGTGCTGTGGGTGTCCTATGGTCCCAGTTCCCCAACCCCAGCCCGCCCCAGCCTGTGTAGCTGTTCCTGCATGTGGATGCTGCATGTCTGGTCTGGGGCCTGATTGTTGCACTGCCCCACTGCCTGTCCCTTCTGGTGAAATAAAGATCTCTTAATGCTGACCCCTGTGTTGTGTCTTCTGTAAGAAGAGAGATTAGGAACCAAGAACCAACCCGGTCCCCCGCCCAAACGCCCCTTCAGCCTCAAGGCTGCTCTTAGCCTGTTCTTCCCCACCCTAGCCACTGGGAGGCACCAGCACACTGGCCTTGCCCCCGGTAGCAGCCCGGGGCATGACTGCCATCGGCCAAAGTGCTGAGGCCCTGAACGGTGGCAGCCCTGAACGGTGGCAGACCTGTCTCGATTGCAGGCAGAAGGTGGAGGGGGCGACCAGGTTTGCTTTACCTCTGAAGCCCACCTCTCAGGCTTTAGACTATGAACTCTGAAGTCAGACTGCTTCAGTGTGGATTTCAACTGCTGTTTGTTACCTGTGTAATATTGGGCAAGTAACTTCATCTTTCTGGGCCTCAATATTATGAGTCATTTTACAAATTTATCAAATGTTTGCCATGTACCAGGCATTGTCTTAGACACCAGGGAGACTACAGTGAACACAACAAATGCCTAGTTTTGGTGGGGGGTTTTGAGTCGAAGTCTCTGTTACTCAGGCTGGAGTGCAGTGGCACGCTTCCGGCCACCGCAGCCTTGACCTACTGGGCTCAGGCGATCCTTCTGCCTCAGCCTTCCAAGTAACTGGAACTAGAGGCACGCCCCACCACGCCTGGCAATTTTTTGATTTATTGTAGAGATGAGTTCTCACTAAGTTTCCCAGGCTAGTCTCAAACCCCTGGACTCAGGCAATCCTTTCACCTCAGTCTCCCAAAGTCCTGGGATCACAGGCTTGAGCCACCATGCCCAGCCCAAATACTTAGTTTTTATTTATTTTTAAAAATTCATTTAGGAGCTAGGCTCAGTGGCTCAGCCTGTAATCCCGCGCATTTGGGAGGATGAAGTGAGTGGATTGCTTGAGCCCGCGGGTTCAAGACCTGCCTGGGCAACTTGGGGAGACCTCATCTCTACAATAAATCAAAAATGAGCCAGGTGTGGTAGTGCA